AATAAATGAAACAACAAAAAAACTCTTAGATTACGACAAGTGGTGCACATGCAGAACGTCACTTGACAGTGGCTAAGAAGGTGAGAGTGACCCCCCCCCACCCCCGCCCCCATTTTTCTCTCTTCTTAAATGGTAATACAATTTCACTAATTCATTTTTGCTTAGAAAATTTATTTATTTAGTTAGTTCTTTTATTTTCTTTTTCTTGTGCAATACCAATGTCACTAATTCATTGCTTCTTAGTAAACATCTTTTTGGCGAAATTCTGTAATTATATGTTTACTCTTGCATATTATCTTCAAAACACAATTTTATGTAAAATGTGTGCAAATTTCATCATTATTTTCTTTAATTGTTTTTGCTTTCTTTCTTCTTAAAGCATAATGACAATGTCACAAATCCATTCCTTCTTGAAAACACATTTTTTTTCTTTTCTGCATAAATTGTAGTAGAATGCGAAAATCTCACTATTATATGCTTATTATTTGCATATTTCAAACAATGCGATTTTGGTGCAAAGTTGTAGCAAGTTTTCAAAGTTTTTTTTTCATTTTCTTTAGTGTTACATTCTTTCCAGAAAAATTCACTATTTTGATTTTGATTTTGTTTTTTATTTTATTGCTTCTGAAAGGATAATACCAATGCCATAGAATTTTCCATAAAAGATTTCATATTTTATTTAAGTTCTAGTTTTTATTTTTGGTTTCTTTTAGTTTTCATTTTCTTTTATTTTGTAAGGGTAATACCAATGTCACTAATGTGACTTTTATATTATATGCTTATTTTATGCATACTGTAATAATACATTTTAAGTATAATGTGGAAATTTTTTCATTGCTTGTGTTAGTTTTTATTTTATTTCTTCATGAAGGGTAATACCAATTCCACTTGCTCATGCCTTCTTGGAATACTTCCTTTTTGCATAAGTTTCTCTCCTATATGCCTAATTTGCATATTGTTGAAATGCACAACTTTTTGTATAATGTGTGTATTTTTTTAATTACTTAGTGCACTAACAAATTCATTCTCCATTTGAAAACTTCTTTTCTTTATTTTCTTTGTACATCAATAGGATGTTATTTGGCAGTGGCCCAAGATGTGTTGCGGGCTTCTGTTGGTTTTGTATGAAAAAAGGCTTAAGTTGTGCTATAACTGTAAAATTGACTCAAAGATGTTTTGGTTCAGTCAATTGGTTAAAAGTCGACAGACCCAAATCCTAAAATCTTGCAACTGCCTGGGAGCCAGTACCTTATAATGCATCCAGTTATATGGCAAGGCGCCAAAATATTAACATGCACTGGATTGGCAAGGTGACGGCAATCACAATCCAAATGGACCCTAACTAATACCATCTCACCCCTCGAGTCTACATCTAGGAGTTTATATACGCCGCACGTTGTGCGCCGCACAGGAACAACCCCGACAGGGTTGACTCTGAAACAATGAAATACTCACCGAAAATCGAATGTGCCCGTGCGAAGGGACGAAGCCTGCACTTCCAACTGGTAGGCGCTCGTCACTCGCAGATGAGCTTATGAGCTCTGATGTATAACAAGGGAGCGCGGGTCATAAAGACTATCAGCAACTACAGATCTAAAATCACTGTTTTGGATTTCCAAATTCAAACGTTTTCTGTTTGTTTCTTTATCGATTTTTCATTTTTCCTTTCTTCTTCCTTTTCTGAATCAAAAATTTGAAAGATTATCAGAATAAAAAAATCGGAATTTTAAAAAGTTGTTCAGATTTTCACATTTTTGTTCATTTTTTCAACAGAATGTTTACATTTTCAAATTCGGGAAATAAAAAATTGTTCAGATAATTTTATAAAAGTACAAAATATTTCAAAAATATTACAATTTTTAAAAAAATGCTTGGAATTTCACAAATTGTTTCCAATTTTCTAAAAGTTGTATATTTTCAAAAAAAATTTGGAGGTTAATTTGTTTTTTCTGGTTTTGAGCTTGCGAGAAAGGCTTGTAACGGTAACATTTTTTGACATTCTTAAAATGAATTAGAATCACTTTTTTTTCAGGAAACGAACAAATTTTGAAAGGACATGAATTGTTTTTGAAAAACCTGAAAAAAAAATTCGAAAATGAATTTTTCAATTTAATAACAAAATTTAAAAAACCCCAAACAATTCTTGAAAATCACGAATATGTTTTTAAAAATCCAAACAAATTTTAAATTTACGAAAAAAATCCAAAACACAAACTTTTTTGAAAGTTTGAACATTTCTTAAGAAAAATGTTGTTTTGAAATTTCTGTATATTTTTCAAAAATGGAAAATATTTGAAAGTAAAAAATTTTGAAATTAAAAGGAATTTAAAAAATAAAATAGTAACAAAAACATGCAAAATTGATATAACAAAAAAAACTATAAGAAACCAGAAAATCAGTCAAAAGGAGAAAAAATTGTCCGTGTGCGTTCTCCCGACTGTTTGAGGTAGAGAGCGTCAAATAGGATTTTCGTCTAAATCCTGCCAGCAACAACGCAACGCAAGGAAAATTTCAAGTCCAGTATAACTAAAGCCTGCAATCCGGCAACTCTCCCTAATACTGCCTTAGAAAAGAAAGTTGCTTCCATTGACAAAAACGGCGAGACAATGCGCGCGACGACTTCTAGTCTCGCGTCTGACCGAGAACATGTAAACGTTGTAGGACAGGGCTCAACATGCAGATACTCAACATGAGAGCATCTACAAACTGCCCTCTTAAATCCTCTTCAAATGTTTGTAGAGGCGCCTAGTTAGTGTCCGGACAGGCTGGAAGATAAATTGATTCAACTGAATCCCTCATATCATCTCTATACGTTCAAATTATCTATAAATTCTTATATTTATACTCCCCTCTTATTTAGTCTACATATTAGATTTGGTTGAAGTCAAAATTTGCAAAGTTTGACCAAATTTAGACAAAATAATATAAACATTCACCATAACAAATTTATATGATGTGAAAGTACATTCAATAATGAATATAATGGTACTGATTTGTTATTGTACAATACTATATGTTAATATTTTTGTCTCTAAACTTTGTCAAAATTTACAAAGCTTGACTTTGACCAAAGCTAATACGCGGAGTAAATAAAAACAAAGGAAGTACCATATATGGGAAGAATATGAGGACCTGCGGACGTGCCCGCCAGTCCGTCACGTAGGATGCGTCCCATCCCGAACCATTTTCCCCCTCTCTTTCCACCTCCAACAATCACATACATGCGATGTCACCAAATATATCACAAAGAAAACTACCTGTGAAAAAAAATCAGAGAGAAAATAAAAGCATGACAGCATGCATGGAGAAAAAGGGACTCAAAAAAGACATGTCTGGATACCGACACGTTCATGGATATTTAAGAGGCTAAATTTGTCAAGTCTGATTGTAGATGCCCCGGGTTAGCACAAGAGCACATACAAATTGCACTGATCATGCTGACGCAAACGCTTACATGGGGCAACGGTTGAGCTATTTTGCTAGTCCCCGGCATAATCACGACACTCTCAAACGCACGAGGCACGTGGGGCAAGCGAATCCAGGTGGCGGCCCCACCGCCTAGGGCCGACGCCACGTATGCGCATGCCTTGCCAGCAGGGATCGACGTAGCTAGCTAGATAGCCTGGACCAATCGATCCATCAACTTTGCAAAGCTCCACTGATCTGCATAAGCTCAAAGAGGAAACTTGCCTTCTTCTGATTACGCAAGTCAAATCGTGCTTATCGCTCAGATGAGACTGACAGCGGCAGGAGGTTAACTCTGTCGCGTTCACATGGCCTCAACAATCTCTAATTAAGCACGTCTGCTTCTGTCGCCGTTCTAGAATGATAAAGCATCAGAGTCGTACTGCTGGATATGCCACCTTCAGTTTCCTTTTACAAGTGCCCCTCCCGTCATTTTCGATTCGAATGCATACTTAAGATTTAAGGTTTGGTAACTACTCTACTTAGTGGCGACCTGTGTTAGTAATATGGTCGTCGAACCTGTAATTGTTTGTACGAGAATGTCAAGCCCTTAATCATGGACCTGTAAATAGGTGTGCGGTAGTTTTCCACTTGTAGTGAGGAGACTTGCCAGTTGATGAAACTAGCTTTGGTAAAAGGCTTTGGGATCGGTATTAGGATAGGTTGATGGAGTTGGCAATCACATTTTGGGTAGGCAGGTAGCTTTCACCAGAGAATGGCCAGATGCAATTAACTCCAGCGCCACCTAAGCCTTGAGAAAGTTACAAGGATAAACTCATCTCATGACACTACGTACACCGTTGCACACACGTGCCAGAAGCATGAGTAAGCTCTCGTTACAATATCTTGGAAGACTAATTAGGCGGCGTTTAACTCACAGTTAGCAGTACATTACAGTATCAGCTTTCCTTGAGCTCCAGTATCATCAAGGTGAAAAAGAACGTGCCAGGTGCTACCCTTGAGGCTTGAGCGCCGTCACCGTCAGTGTGTTCCGGTTGATTGAGCCGTACGTACAAGCTAGCTAGGCGTGTCATCGGCGTACGTCGGTGGTCACCATTCAACGGTCGCGGTTGTTTCTTATTCAGGGGCAAATACATCACGCACGTTTCCGTTTAATTTCTGATAGCTAGGCAGCGGGCTAGACGTCGCATGGGCGGTGGAGTTCAGCTCCCATGAAGGCGAAGCCCCACGCATGCGTCCATTGTAACGCACGCACCCAGAGCTCCATGCGCGGCTCTTTTTACCCCAGAAACCGCACGGGTGGCCAGCCCACCCTATGCCTTAGGGCAAAAGAACGCCACGCCAGCTCGTCGGTGCAACGCCCTCTCCTGTAGCTGCCAGTACTCTCTAGAGCCGAGACAGATCAACCCACCACGCGACGGCCGAACACGATCGCGCTCTATAAAAGGGCAGGTGCATGCGCGACATGCTGTACAACCGGCAGGGTCACAAGCAGATAGCTTAAGGTCGGCTCAGGGTCAAATTCAGTAGCTGGCTACATATCTATTTACAAGTAGTTGTAGTTTGCCGGTGGCATGGCGAGCATGCGGCCGCCGCAGCCGCAGGCCATCGCCAAGGTCTCCATCTCGGCGCTGGTGATCTCCCTGCCCATCATCTACATGTCGCTGCTGCGCGTGCCGCCGTCCGCGCTCGCAAGGGATTCCACCTTCTGGTTCCTCATGTCCCACTCTATCATCGCCATCATCGCCGCCGACTCCGGCGTGCTCTTCTTCAGCCCCGCCTCCCACCACCAGTACGACGACGACCACGACAACCTCCCCGACGTCGTCGTTCGCTGTGATCAGCCGGTGGCGACCGTCCAAGGGGACTACTGTGACGCGACGTCGGTGCTGCTGATGGCACCCCACGAGTCAACGGCACCGGTCGATATATCCACTAGTGTCGTCGCAGGAGGCGGTGACCAGCCATCATGGACTGGCACGGAGGAGGAGGGGCATGCGCTGGCTTTGACCAAAGGTGAAGGTGCCGCGAGCACGCCGAAAACTGACACGGACCATACGTCGGTTCTTGATAAGCGTGACGAAGAAGAAGAAGAAGCGCCCGAACCAGCTAGCACCAACAAGAGCGATGCAACGATGGCGGAAGGCGATCAGTGGGCAACACCACAAGCTCATATTACAGTAACACCTGATGATCAAGATGAGGACTCCGTCGAAAAGATGAAGCTCCGGTGCTCGGCTACAGAGGAGACCGACAAGGTGCCGCCATCAGAGGAGGAGCGCGAGTATTGGCAGCTGAGCGACGAGGAGCTCAACCGGAAGGTTGAGGAGTTCATCACGCGGTTCAACCGAGACATGCTCGAGCAGGAAGCAGCAGTCTGCTGATCGACTATACACTAGCGACTTGATTACCTACCTGTAGCCAGATATACTTAAGGAGTACTAGTAGTGTATCACTATCCATGTACGTATATATGATCGATGCTTTGTACAAATTTTATGGATATATATGGTATTCTTTATTTACCGGAAGACCGAAAGCGACACATGTACAAAGTTTTGCACTTTAGCTATACACATGTAAGCCTGAGATTCTTGCGTTTCTCTTTTGGACTGTTCTATGAGCTGGTTTGGGCATTTTTTTTACCACTTTAGCTATACATCAGGCGACTGAGTTTTTCATTTTAGGTCAGTCGAATTTGTTGCCGTTGATTTAATGTGCTTTAGGATACGTGTGTAAGAAGTTTCCATGGATTTGACTGACGCTGTTGTTTATTCAGTCGATTTCCTGCCTTTTCTTGCTCGGTGCATGCTGCAGCCCGCATTCATGCATGTCTCCACTTCGTGACTGTTGCACCCACATGGGTGGATGAAATGCATGCCATTTTTTTGTGCGTGCATGCCTTTTTTGCTTGTTCTTGCTTCTGTTTTTCTTTTTTGCACGTGTTTGCTTTTTTTTGTGTGTGTGTGTGTGTTTTGTTGAGTTTTTTTTTTCTTTATGTGTATTTTTGGATGTTGAGTGTGTGTAAATGTATGCATGCAAGTATTACATATATACATTGTATTAGAGTATGGTACATATTATAAGGAAATTTTTGCTTTAAGTTTTATGTCACTTTATTTCTTATTTAAGGGTAATACCAATGACACTAATTCATTCATGCTTTAAAACTTATTTTTTATGTGAATTCTACTATTATATGTTTTTTCCTGCATATATATAAAACGTGCAATTTATGTGTAAATTGTGTGCAAATTTGAGCATGATTTATTTTTCATTCCTTTTCTTCTTAGAGGTTGATACCAATGTCTCTACTTCATTCTTTTTTAGAAAACGTTTTTTTTGTGTTTTAAGTAAGTAGACATGCAAGTACTATACAACATGTGTGGAAATTATAGTAGAGTGTGAAATTGCAATATTATATGTTCTTTTTTTGTATATTACTAAAAGTGCAATTTCAGTGCAAACTTGTGTGCAATTTTTTTTCTTTTTTTTTCTTAAAGGGGTTCGTTATTCCCTAGAAAACTTCATTGTTTTGATTTTGTTTTACTTTTTTTTTAATTTTATTTCTTCTTGAAGGGTTTCATTCTTCCATATAAAACTTCATTATTTTGTTTTTTATTCCATTTTCTTTTTTTAAGTGCAATACCGATATCATTCCACTATTATATGTTCATTCTTGCATATTATAAAAAATGCAATTTATGTATAAACTGCGTGCAAATTTTGTTCTTTTTAATTTTCTTCTTCTTAAAAGGAAATACTAATGCCACTAATTAATTGTCTCTTAAACAACTTCTTTTTTTATTTTTCTGTGTGTAAGTATAAATGCAAGCACTATACAATATGTGTGTAAATTATCCTTTGCTCCTAAATATAAGTCTTCTTAGAGATTCCAATATGAAGTACATACAGATGTATATAGACATATTTTGGAGTGTAGATCCACTCATTTTGCTCCATATATACTCCATATTGAAATCTCTTAAAAGACTTATATTTAGGAACGGAGCGAGTGTTAGATTGTGAAAATTGCACTATTATATGTTTATTCTTTGTGTATTATCAAAAGTGTGATTCGAATATAATGTTGTGTGCAAGTTTTTTTTCACTTTCTTTATTCTTAATGGACAATACCAGTGCTACTAATATATCATTGCTTAGAAAAATTCATTATATTTATTTTGTTAATTTTTATATCATATATAATTTCTGAAAACTTATAAAAACGTGTTGTGTGCACTTATGTGTAATGCATGTACTCATCTCTATCCAGCTGAAAAGTTCAAATGCTGGGTGAGAAATAGTTATTCTTCACTCCGCCCCCTCTATTTTACCATCAATGCCCCGTAATTTCACGTTCTGTAAGTTTTGTCTTATTTCCGACATAAAAAGAGATCATAAGAAAATATATAATCGTTGTAAAAAATATTTTACGTTATGTAAAATTACAAACGTAAAAACATAGTGTAAAATACACATAAACTGCAAATTTTCTTCTCTTATGATCTATATTTTTATTTTCTTATGCCAAATTTTACGTACTGAATCAATAGGAATGTAACTATTTGAATTGCAAACGTAATTTAATTATGAAATGATCGTAAAATTACCTCAGTTGAAGAATAACTTATTCTGCACCCTGGATGATGAATAGTAACACTACTATTATATGACTATTGTTTCCATACTATAAAAGTGTGATTTTAGTGCAAAGTTGTGTGCAAGCTATTTAAGCTTGTTTCATTATCTTTATTCTTAATTGGTAATACCAACGGAACTATTCATTGTTCCTTATACAACTTTATTGTTTTGATTTAGATCTAGCTATTGTTTCGTTTTCTTTCTTCTTTGAGTGTAGTACCAATGCCACTTATTCATTCCTTCTTAGGAAACTCTTTTTTGCGAAAACTCCACTACTATTATATATTTATTCCACATTTAAAAAAATTATGTATATGTTGTGAATTTTTTGTCATTGTTTGTTTTAAAAAATTATTTTCTTTTTGTCTTAAAGGGTAATTCAATGCCACCAATTCATTCCTACTTAGAAAACTTCATTAAATTTTGTTTTAGTTTTTATTTTATTTTCTTCTTAAAGGGTAATACCAATGCTACTAGTTCATTTTTTCCTATAAAACTTCGTTGTTTTCATTTTGTTTTAGTTATTATTTTATTTCTTCTTCTTTAAGAGTAATATCATTCGCACTAATTCTTTCCTTCTTGGGAAATTCTTTTTTGTGAAAATTCCACTATCGCATGCTTATTCTTGAGAATCACATTTATTGTGTATATTGTATGCAAATTTTGTTATTGTTTGGTTTGTTTATTTTATAATTTATTTATTTTAAAGGGTAATACCAATGTTACTAATTCATTGTTTCTTAGAAAACTTCATTATTTTAATTTTTTTAGTTTTTATTTTATTTTCTTTCTTCTTAAAGGGTAATACCAATACCGCTCACTTGATCTTACCCCCTCACTGCATCCAGTCACCTATGATACAAGGATGACAAGGAGGGCACATTGGCTAGTTGCTCCCCATGATCTCCTTCTTGCGATGGCAACCATGTAGGAGGTGGTGCGGCAGCCACCCGATCTGCTTCGCACTGTAGCCACCTACAGTCAGAGGTGGAGTAGGCGTGTTGGCCGCCGCTCCATTGCTCCCCTTCACATAACGCGACAATTACTAGTCGGAGGAGGATGTCGCGCGTGATGGCAATCAATAGGAGTTCCGAAAAAACAATCAGACAAAAACAAGAAAACCCCCAAAAAAACCGACGCTTGTGCTACGCTCCATCTTAGCCACGCAGTCGCCCCTTTGTATTACATGGGTTATCCTTCACATTGAGTGGAGAATAGCATTTTCCACAATCAACGACATAGACACACTAGATTGTGGTGGGCTCTTTTGAGGGAAGGCTGTGGTAGGCTCTTTGCTAACTTGTTTCTTCAACCAAATGGACATTTGGCCCAACATGGTAAGGGTGGAGTTTTGGCACCTATGTTGAATGTTGAGATACCAGGTGGCAGGTCCAATTTTTTCAACAAAGGGTTGATTTTATTGACTCCAAATAAAGCATCAAGCGGATACAACACAATGAACACACACCCTGCATATGCATAGCTAGGACACACACAACCAACACAATCACATACACATATTAAATAAACATGCCGATAAATAGCAAAGTCATAAAAGACCATAGTCATGCCTAAGCAAGGGCAAAAAACTTGGAAGCAATCAAAATACCTAAATTGGTATATTGACCTCAAACCCTGATATACTGATATATGCAATCATACCTACATTGAGCTTACCTCCATCGGCTAGCTGGAGGGACAAGACCACAAAGAACATAGCTGGCTCCGAAGCATGACTTATAGTCTTATATACATGCAAATGACGCCATCCGGAGCGACACCGAGAAAGGTAAGCTCCGTCTGGCCCCATCTCTAAGAAATTATTAACGAACAAATTTCAACGACGTGAGCAAAGCCAGTCCTTCGTTGAAACCGATCTGCACATACTCATGCTTATTCCTGCTTGCGCTAGGGACAAGAAAGCAACCAAAAACACCGAAAGCAGACGTTTCTCACGAGGTCGCAGCAAAGTGTGCCATGCATTCGGACCCTACATATACGCCCCCAGTCGACCGAGAAAATACCAACGCAAACACACGCCATAAGCCCATAACCTTAACCAGACCCTGATTAACTAGCTCATCAAAGGCAATGGCGACCGTGAAGCTTCTCAACTGCTTCGTCAGCCCGTTCGGGAACAGGGTGAAGATCGCGCTGGCGAAGAAGGGCGTGGAGTACGAGGAGACGGCCGAGAACATGGTCGCCAAGGGCCCGCTGCTGCTGTCGTCCAACCCCGTCCACGCCAAGGTCCCCGTCCTCCTCGTCGACGGCAAGGCCGTCTGCGAGTCCCTCGTCATCCTCGAGTTCATCGACGAGGCCTTCGCCGGCACCGGCGCGCAGCTCCTCCCCGCCGACGCCTACGCGCGCGCCAACGCCCGCTTCTGGGCCGCCTACGTGGACACCAAGGTAGAGTCTACATCCACTGATTCAGCTGCTTACGAAGCTGCTCGTAAGCCATAACTCGCGTGTGCGTGCAGATGCCGGAGTGCGCCGGGAAGATCTGGAAGGTGCCGAAGGGCGCGCCGGCGGTGGAGGAGGGGAAGAAGGAGATGGTGGGCGTGTTCAAGACCCTGGAGGGTGAGCTGGGCGAGAAGCCCTACTTCGGCGGCGACGCGCTCGGGTACGCGGACGTGGCGCTGGTGACCTTCGTCCCCTGGTTCCTGACGTACGAGCGGCTCGCCGGGTTCAGCATCGCGGAGGAGTGCCCGACGCTGACCGCCTGGGCGGCGCGGTGCGCCAA